GTGGGGGGGGGGGGGTTATCTTTTATTAGCCCAACTAAATAGTTGGAAAAATTGTTCTTTGCAAGCTTTCAGGCACAAACACCCTTCTTCAGGCATATGCTTACAAAGAACAATTTTTCCAACTATTTATTTGGTCTAACAAAAGATATCACATCTACCCAAAGAACCTTGTCTGCCTATGTCCTTAAACCAACACGGCTACAACCAACAACACTAAAGCATAGAAGATATCAAATTTTGCCATTTGTTATGCTTTTAGAAGGGTGTTTGGCCCAAAAACGTGCATTCTTCAGGTCACTTCAGGACCTAAAGAAGAATGGACTGCATTCAAAAGCTTGTCTAAGTATATCTATCCCAGCCATGCAGTTGGTCCAGTAAAAGATATCACTCACAAATGTTTGCATATTTCTGGAACCATCACAGCTACAACCATCACCCCAACACCACTTAAAAGATTTAATATTTTTAACCATGTCCCCTAGGCTTATACCTTATATGCTGAATTTCAGCTTTGAATTATTTTTTCAGCACATTTATAAACTGCTGGAAACAGAAAGCTTATGGGAAAAGTGTAACAATCTAAAAAGGCATGTTATATAAATAGACCTTATGGGGAAAAAAAAGAGTTACAACTCTGTCCAAAGAGAAACCCATTTTTTCTGAAAAAGCAACATGCATTTCTTGAAGTCATGCATTTTTTAACATTTTTATTCAGGTTAAAGAATAAATTTAAGTACAAAATTTCTATCCACCAATATAATTGCATTTCAAAGCAAAATAATTATTAATTAATACCTTGCTGAAAAGGACTAGCTGCCGACACAGTTGTTCCTGGATTCCTTCCACCACCAGGCTTTCTTCCCCTCTGACCTGAGCTGTGACCTGCAGATTTCTTCCCTTTGCTCTCTGACCCTCTTGCCTCTGAGGCATCTTTTCCACCTGAAGTATGTGCAGAGACTTCCTGGAAATTTGCATTTGTAAATCGAGCTGTGGTATCCTCCAACCTCTTCAAGGAGCCTGGCATTGAGTTGTTGCTAGTACTTGTGTAGGTCTAGCGTTTTGATTCAAAGAAAGGAAGGGAGAGGGGGGAAAGGGAGAGAGACAGTTAGATGCCCCCAAAAATCCTTATATATCAACCAATAAGCATATTAAGACAAACAAGACATATCTGTCATATCATCATAGAAAATTTCACAAACTCACAGTATTTTTGTAAGAATTAAAAGAAAAATGTTTAGTCTTGTATGTAAGACAACATAAAGAACAGAAATCAGTTCCTAACACAATTTTTTCAGATCAGATACAGTATAAACTGTCAGTTCACCTAGGAAGAATCAAATATTAATAATTAGTGGAAGACACATGGTGACTTAGATACATGGCAACATAGTCACCATATTTATCAAAAGCTAAATAGCAAGCACTGGTACATCTACTTATCAAAATAATGTCACTTTTTAATATCAATTTCTGCCACCCTTTGTGCAATAAAAACCCCTACAATTCTGCAATTATGGCACCAGCCCACAAATGTATACAAATACTTAATTGTATACAGTTAGACTCATTTAAATCCGCACGATTACTCAAAGGGTACAAAGATAAACCCAGACACACAGTTTTGAAACTGAAGGTTCTGAAACAGTTTCATTTTACAGAACATGTTTATGTTTGTTCAGTGAAGGCAGTGTTTGGATTATTACATGTGGTCCAAAAATGCCAAAATTATGTTCAACTGAGAATGTGTAATAGTTAATCTCTAATATTAAAAGGGGGATCTGAAATATCTAAAAGAAAGCACATCCATTTTATGCTATACATTTCACTCTACATTAATATTCCAGCCTCTCTAGCATGCGCACACTATCTTTTCACAAGAGTTGACAAAAGTAAATATTTTGGGTAACAACAAATAATTTAAAATGATGAGGATAAATGCTTATTTTTCATAAAACTAAAAAATAAGTAGGCTAGAAAAAATGATGAATAAATAGAAAGTCTGGTTTTAGATGCAAAATTAGAAGTGGGTAAGCACTGAATTATCAGATTCAGATGAAGTCAGTTTGACAGATTTGTTAGATAGTTAAATCAACATGACCTTTGTGGTGTGCTTTTCAGTGAAAATGTGATAATGATAGTCAGCTATTACTATTTGTTAACTTTGGATGAACCCCAGATTTCACTCAAGACAAAGGTAGCTATCTTTGTATCTTCAATAGTTTGTATCTATGTCTATTTTCACTTTATCTGTTATGTCTACAAAATCATATTTTGAAACTAATAAAAATGAAGTATTTTACTAAATAGGAAAAGGAAAAAAATATGAGTGATATTACTTAGTAGAGTTACATTTTACTTACTTTAGGAAGTAAAACAAAGGAAGTAAAACAATTGTTTTGTTTTTGATTGACAAAGCTTTCTAAGTGTAAAATAAATACTGTTTAAACATTTAGAAAAGTCTCTATTTATGTATTTTCCGTAACAAGTACATTTTGTTTTCTTGTTCTTTACTTGGTAAGGCCCTGAGATTCAGGGTAGCACTTAATATGAATGCCTTTAAAGACATACTTAAGGAAGGCTCTTATAATGAGTTTAAGTCCTATTAAAACATGGGTACTTTCTACTAATGAGGATACTTTTCTGAATCAGGGATTATAGCATAATATGCTATTATCTTTTCCAATAATACACGCAGCAATAAAAAGTTATCCCACTTTTCAATAACACTGCTATCAGGAAACACAAAAAATTTCCATCACAATAAAAATAATTTTGATTCCAAAGTAGTTCAATTTTCAGTATACTCCCATACTAATTTGCTTCATCTTTTCAAGTTTTCATCACTCAGTACAAACAAGGTAGGTAGGACACTATTTTGCTGAACTACTATCAACGATTTTGCTTAACTGACTCCCACGGTGAGCTTAGAAAGAGATGAAATTCCATTTAACAGACCAACAGGACTCAAGCTGGTTAAACTTCATGGCTTACTTTAGAAACACAAACCTTTTCTATGCAGGACAGGTCAACACAGAAACTACCCAATCTCATTTTTCAATCATTTTTGCATTAGTTGGGATGGTCCTGAAGCTCTCTCCATCCCTCTCGCATGTGACCTATATGACCTAGTACAGGTCAAAGGTCATGTAAAGAAAACACACTGGTACTCCTCACTAATGCATCAAATAGGCGAGGGAGAGGAAACTGGGTAGGGATGATGTAAACAGAAATATGAACTCTCACTGTATGCTCAAATTGGATCTGGTCTGCTCCCCAATGACAAGAGATGAAATATATACTGGAGTTGTCCTGGAGGAGGAAGATGATATGCTTAGAAATAGAGCACAAACAATAGTGTTATGTAAAACTCTAATCTTCTCATGTTCAGAAATAATTGCATTTTCCCATATATTGCGAATCAGAATGGTACCTATAGTCTGTTTCTAACTATAGGGAGCAGAAACACATTCCACTTGAACTATTTCAAAATGTCACTGACTGAGAACCAGTTCACAACTGTTACAAGATAGGGTGCAGACACCCATAACTGAACCATTCCAAAATGTCACTACCTGGGAACCATTTCACAATTGTGTGAAGTGCTGTGGCTCCAACAACAGGGCATGAGCATACAGCCCAGGATGCCTCTTTAGTGGGCGAATGGGGAAGGTTGCGTCTGCACCTGGAGAGCTCCTTGTATTTTAAAGAAGCCTTACTGAGAGTGCAGGAAACAAACCATCATGATGCGCAGGAAAACTAGCAAGTACAGCAGTAGACTTGCTTGACTTAGCAGGGCCAAGCTAATCTGTTTTGGCTTCCTTTTTGTGTTTTGGCTCTATGATGTTGAAGACTTTCTCCTACACTAGCTTCCAAAATGTAAAAGACAGCTTGCTGCCACACTTCAATTGATACTTTCCTCACAACACAATTGCCTTTCCCTTCCCTTCCATCACAATACCTTAATATCACAGTACCTGCTAAAAACAAAAGTAATACCCTCAAAAAATAAGTAATAAGTAACCTTTCAGTTCTACCCAGACAACTGCCTTTAAAGCAGCAGAAGTCTAATTGGACACATATATCTTGACTGTGATCCATTTGATATTTTTCAGAATGAAAAACAAAACCAAGAATAATAACAACAACAACAACATCACACTAATCAAAAGTAATCCATCCTTCCAAAATATGCATTACGTCATTCATCCAAGTAAAAACAATTCTGAAGGTGTTCGACGGCATAGGTGAATCATTAACGTAGCTATATAGCCAATTTAAAAAAATCCTTACAGCTGTAGCTAACAAGATAGAAAAATCATACTTGTGGAAAGGAACATGAAACTTGTAGTATGGAAACACTGTTGAAAATAAAGTAAATATGGCTAAAATCAATTTTATTCTAATTTAATTCTAAATGAAAGAAAATAATATTTAAAAGAAATACCCTTAAGTACAATTTTCTTGACAACACTATACCTAATAATCAGAATACACAATGGAACCTGTTTAAATTATTAAAGTTTTATGAAATACAGGGTATGGGTTTTGAATCTAGAAAAGCAAACAGTACTCAAATGAAATAACAGTGAAAGATCTTTGAGAGTAGAGAAAGTGAAAGGAAGACTTAAAGGAACAAGCCACAGAAAGTTAATTCTATATATACAGCAGTCAGAAGATTTTTGTTTGTTTGTATTACTGTATTACAGTCACACTTACAAACTTCCGTAAGGGATCTTTTGTGCAAGGCCTTACATACTATGAAGAAAAAGATGGTATTTCCTGCCCCAGAAAAAATACAGCTATAGCAAGTAGACAAAAAGGAGACTGGAAAGATGAGATCATAAAAGATTAAAACAGTAGGAGTTTTCAGAAAAAGTGTTTTCTATTGTGGCTTCATTAGCAGGAACACCTACCAGGAAATAAGCCTGGAAAAAGCAAGGGATTTTCAATCTATACTTTGGTCATTGTACAAATATGCTATACCAACATGTATTACGTTGCTTATGTGTTCTGAACACTCACTTCAACATACACTTTTATGAAAGAAAACTCCTTAACTTCTAGGTGGCTTAAAAAAAAAAAATCCATCCCTTAGAAAACGTCTATTTTGGGGCTGAGATTGGAGTTTGTTATCTGAATCAAAGAAAACGCCATCTATCTTTGGCAGCTCCAGATCCTCTATACCAGCGTTTCTCAATCTGTGGGTCACAAGAATATATGAAAGCATCACAAAGAAACTTTAAAAATGGATTCTACTTTAAAGGAGAAAAATGTGGGAAACTGGCTTTTCCCTTGCAGGCTGGCAGAGTTCCAGCTTGCGAGGCGCTGCTTGGGCCACCCCCTGCTCCACCCACCCACCCACTGCCCCACACACTGGGGGGCTGGGGAGCAGTGGGTTGGGGGTGAGGGGCACTAGGTTGGGACTGGCCACTGAAGTCTACAAATGGGTCCTGGTACAAAAAAGGTTGAAAACTACTGTTCTATACAGTAGCAAAAAAGTTCTGCTTTCTTCAAGCATCCTTTTCTGCCACAGATTCTGGTCATATATCAAGTCCACTCACAAAGTATTCTGCCTACTTTGAAAGTAAAAGTTTTAAAACGGTAAGTCTGGTAATTCATACTACAATATATATTGTTCCAGCAGGATTACGGTATTATGAGCTGTGATATACTGCAATGGAAAGAAGGAAGTAGGAGAAATCCATTTTATCCACTTGACTGGATAAGTCCTGCAACAGACAGGACTTGAACTACTTCAAATTAGAATTTTAAAAATTTTAAGCAAGTTTTTCATTGTGAACATGACCTTCCCTCTCAAAAACCACTTTTTCCCCTTCAAGAAAAAATCCGAAGCATGTCACAACTTTCTCTTCAGTGTCTCCAAGATCTTCAGCCAACAATCATTTGCATCGACCACTCTCTTAATTGAATCCTGAAATTCTTTGCAAACTTTTTCAAAATTTAAAATCTATTGCAGAAAGATCTTCCTCAAGGCAAGCATAAATTTAAAATTTCTAAAACAAATTTGATTTAGACTCCTGCCAGCCACACTAAAGGAGAATTTAATTTGGTAACACTGCTCTTCCTTGCCAACTTTCAGTGACCTTCAGATTCGCTTGCCATATGCATTTCTGGTACTTCATACTGGGCTTGACCAGACAGAAATAGAAGTCAGCAGCTAAAAAGAAGGATAAGCCCAGGCATAGGCAGTGGAAGGGGGGGGGGGGCAGGGCTAACGGGGCTTAGCCCCCCAAACGTGGGGCAGCAGTAGGGCCTCAAGGCAGCCTAGCCGAGGGTTTCCAGCACTTGCAGCAGGGGTAGGGAAGGAGTGGGGCTGGGGGAGGGGCAGGTACTGCACAGCCAGCAGGGCGCAGGACTAAGCTGCGCGCGATATGTCCATGGGGCATGGCTCTTACTGCTATACCCCAGGAGGCATGGGGGCATGTGCCCCCAGATCTGCATATGGCATGGTAGGCTGGCGCTGTAGGCTGGGCCTGGGCTGTGGCAGTGCTGGGAAAGGGCTGGGGGGGGAGGGGTGCAGCCACCCCAAAATTCACCGTAGCCCACCTGACCCCCCCAACCAGACCGCAGCGCAGCACCGCCGCCGGGAAGAGCCTGGCACTGCCCTGGCCCCAGCCCACAGTGGCAGTCTGCCCTGCCCCATGCAGATCCAGGTGCACATGCCCCCCATACTTCCTGGGACATGTGCAGTGGCGGAAGCCACTATGCCCTCCCCGCGCCCCCTGGATGAGCCATGGCTTCATCCTGACTCAGGGCAGGGCAGGTGCGAGGGTCCTGGGGGCCCCATCCCTTACGGCCCAGTAGTGCAGCCAAAGCTGGCCCCACTCCAGCCCCTGGCCCCCCTGGGTGCTGTGGGGCTGAGGCCAAAGCTGGGGTGGGGAAGCAGCCAGGGCCAGTGTGGGACTGGGGGGGCAGCGGATTTGTTGGCGCAGGGGGCGCCAGCTCCAGACAATGACCCCAGGTGCAGGGGAAGAGGCAGCTGCACAGGTTCAGCGGGCCCCGGCCTTGATCCTGGGCCCAGCTCTGCTCCACTTCCTCCCAATCACTGCCCAGTGGGGGCGCAAGCGCATGCCCAGCCCTTCCCCCCCAAAAATTGTCTCCCTCCACCTATGAGCCTAAGACACAAAAGGCTACACATGCCAAGTCCATGAGTGAACTTCTTCAAAAGATCGCCCTTTAGAATAAACAAACCAAAGCTGAATTTACTGGAAGTATTCACATCCCAATTAGATTAAATACAGAAAAGGGATTTTTGACTCATAATAGCAATCATAACCTTAAAAAGAAATAAGAACTGTCCAGACATTATAAAATAATTTAATCTGCTGGCAATGAAACGTAAAGCTCAGAGGAAGTCCCACCCCCTAACCTTTGCCACCAGAAGTTCCTCCTCTTGCCCCCAGAAGAGGGGGTGTGGCCTTCGAACCAGAAGTTACACCCTGTCACGTCGTCTGTGTCATAAGACCCACCCACCCAATGCCAAACCTTGCCCCACTCACCACATCTGTCTCAGAATCCCCTGCCAACATCACATGATCCCTGACATCAGAAGGTCTACCCCTTGACTGGGAAACACTGCCCACCACAGGGCTCAGCCTCACAGTGCACGGCCTGCTCCTGGGACCCCAAGCGTTCTGCCCTCTAGGCCATGAGGCACAGGCAGAACTTCTCAAATAGCAAGGGGTTGTGACCCCTCTAACATCCTGCCCCATCAGTAGGGTTTCAGGGATATCAGACCTCCCCCAGAACGGAGCCAAACCAATGGAGTCAAGGACTGCACACGCAAAATCTTTCAGAACAAATCATTTTAACAAAGTACAGATAAAGTATCACATACTAAAAATCAAACACCTACTATAACAAATTTTAATTTTATTTAAAAAAATAATTTGGGTAATGATTACCTCAACTCAACTCTCATGTCACCCCATCCCACCCAGCCCCGTGTGGCAGCAAAAGCTGGCCAACCCCAACTTCCCCTCACCGGCATCAGCAAGACCCAATCCTTCCCAGCCCGCCCCACAAGACAGAGCAGAAGCAGACCTAGGCTCCCCTCACCAGCGCTGCAGGACCCATCCAGTCCCAAGCAGCACACGGCTCAACCACAGCTTCCCTCCTCGGTGCTGGCCTGGCCCAGTCCGAGCAGTACGCAGCAAAGCTGTGGCTTCCCCTTACATCTGGTGACCTGTCCCAGCTGGTCTCAAGTGGCATGCATTTCAGTTGCCGCTTCTCCTCACCAGTGCCCACCCAGCTGGGCCCGTCCCATCCCAAGTGGCATGCGGGGAAGCAGCAGCTGGCCCGGCTTTGCCGCATGCCACTCAGATCAGGATGGGCCCGGCCAGGTCAGCACCAATGAGAAGAAGCGACAACTGAGCTGCTCGCCACATGGCGCTGGGCCAGCTGAGCCACATGCCGCTTGGGACCGGCTCAGCCACAGCTTTTCCTCCCTGGTGCCGACCTGGCCGGACCCATCCCATCCCAAGAGGCATGCAGCCAAAGCCAACCTAGACACGGTCTTCCTCCCCAATGCCGGCCTGGCTGGGACAGGCCGGCGCAGGTAAAGGGAAGGTGTGGTTTTGTCACGTGATGCTTGGGCTGGGCCAGGCTGGTCCTGAGCAGGACACAGCTCGGCCACCGCATCTCCTCACCAGTGCCGACCCGGCCAGGCACGTCAGGTCCCGAGTGGCATGTGGCAAAGCCGCATGTGACTGAAGCTGGCCCAGCTGCGGCTTTTCCTCCCTGGTGCCACCACGGCCTAGCCCAAAAGGCACACAGTGAAGCCCGCCCAGCCGCCGCTTTCCCTTACCTACATGGCAGAGGTGGAGTGGCATGGTGATCCAGGCAGGTGGCCAAGCAGGCACCACTGCTCCTGTGTGGGTGCTAGGGGGCAGAGTGGAGCATGCGCCACACACCTACATGGGACATGTCCTTGCTTCTGCACAGGAGCAGTAGTGCCTCCCCAGTTGCCTATCTGGCACACCATGCTCCTCCACCTCCCCACCAGACTCCAACCCGGGATTTTTAACAAACTGGCCAGGACCAGGCTATGGAATCCTGGAGTCTCAGCTAAACTGAGACATACATCCACCCTAGAGTAGAGCCCAGGAGTTTTAATTCGGAATTACTGACTGAAATATCTGTCAATCCAGTAGTGATCTATGTCTAGGAAATAATAAAATGGACTAGAGTTTCTATGATCTGCAACCCAAAAATTATCATCAGAGATGCACAGAACTTTTGGTAATAATATCTAGAGCCTACCATATCTATAAACTACTAATATCTAGAAACTACCAGATGATAATAAAATTCTCAAACCTTTGTACTAGAAATAAACATTTTAGAATTCCACATTACTTAAAGTGTGTCAGACTGCAAATGTATTAATACATTTCAACATAAGCAAGGGTAAGGCATAAAATACAAAATACTTAACTTACTTTCTCTGTAGTTACAGTAAGAGATGGAACCAAAGATGGTGAGGACTCCGATTGCTTCTTGTATTTTTGTTTGTGTTTGTCTTTTTCTTTATGTTTCTAAAAATAATGAAAGCAAATATAATCTAAGTTCAGGTCCGTCTACAATATAATCAACATTTAAAATGCAAAAGTAAATTATGTTATTTAAATATAAAAAAAACCCCAAACTGACTATAAAAGTTACATATTAAGTACTAATATTCCATCATTTCCAAAAATATAAAACTATGCATATTTTGCTAAGTAAAGTAGAGAATTTCTACACTGTAAAGCAGATTTCAATAAGTGTACAGGCAGTTATTGAGCCATGACTGAGTTACAACAAACAGCACTTAAGACGTTTATAAACTGACACCCTATTTCGGCAGAGCAGGGGCTATAACACTGTTCCTATGGGAAAACTGGTTCCAAGTTATAACATTTTGACTTAGGACACGGTTTTCAGGAACCAATTGTGTCATAAGTCTGAGGACTGCCTGTATACTTACTGAATTATTTTACCATCAATATTTCAAACGCCAGTATTACAGAAGTTAGCAGGTCTTACCAAAAATTAAATATCATAACATGACAGGAAAGTGGAAGAGAAAAGATACTGATACGCATTCTACTTTAAAAGTTTTTGTAATCATTTTATCAAGAAGTATTTTTCTTTGAGGTATTAATGTAAAAATCAGTGGAAAGGTAGAATATTAACTAAATTCACAAATGTCAAGGCTGGCTCCTCTACTGGTGCCAAATTATATAATTTTTAACAAGATTAGACTCCATTAGATTACAGAATTTTTGTTTAAATTTTACTCCTAAAATACACAGTTCACACTCTGAAAGAAAATCACAATTTTCAATATGTTAAACTCAAACTGGAAATACTGTATTTTTCAACAGTCTGAAAAAATCAATTTTCCTTTTTTATTTACTGAGGATTAACAGTATGGCTAATTGTGTCCAAATGTCAAAAAAATTAGTCTCTAATATCCCAAGATATTTATAATGACATGTTGTATTCATGCCTGTAAGACCTCTATGTGCATGGAGAATTAAGATCTGCAAAATCAGATCTTAAACTATACATGTTTAAAGAAACCAGCAGAAGCATTAATCAGATAAATGTGTTTTTAATAGCATCAGTGTATTCAATACAAAATTAATAGCATACTTTGTTATATATTTGCTCCTTACAGATAACTTTATTGTTATTTGGACAGACATCAGGGTGCCTGAAAGTATTAGAAAGGAAAAAACACTTAGTAGCAACTGCTATTTGAGTATGCCGCTTCTGCCGATTTACATTTGTTGGAATGCTGTATACCTGCACTATGCCTTAAAGTTTAATACAGTCTTTATATTCAGTCCTTCAAAGAAGTGAACATTTTAATATAAAGCAACAAAACTTATGCATGGTCCAACTCTCTTCTAATTGAAAGAATGAGGAAAAAGTGAGGAAAAACACAGGCGGCATAGATTTCAAACCATTGGTCCCAAGTAATCTTTTTTTTTTAAATCACTCATACAGATCCACATTAAAGATTAAGCACCTGTATAATTCTTAAGGTGGTGACACAGCACTTAATAAATTAATGCATACAGAAATGTTTTCATAAGAGAATCAGAACAAGATGCATATTTATTTACATACACTACTCCCTTGATACCTCCAAGAGTCAACTTTACAAATATCCACAACAGTAGAGAGCCAAAGAGGAAGTTTTAAAAATAATGAAATTGGCTCTCCAACCCTATAGTAAGGAGATGTCAACCAACTGCTTGTCTAAATGCAAAGCTGAATTCATTTTGGAAGTCTAAGAAAAACAGACTCCCCATGCATGGCTTCTTTAAGCTACAAATTACTGAGTTAACTTCTAAAAGGGTGTTACCTTTTCTGAAAAATTCTCCAGCCTCTTAATCTCAATTTTTTATAAACCTATCTTTTACAGAAAAAGTAGAGGAAAGGAAACTGAAACAAAATTCCAAATTATCTTCAGCAAAAATACAAAACAAAAGGACAAGATGCTCTAGTTAAACACTGTTTCCTCAGTTTCCATGACAGTCACAGTAGTTAAAAAGATAACATTAAGTGATAAATGGGGTCCTGTCCAAAAAATTTCAGTCTCATTTCACAAGCCTGAAATTTTAATTTCAGTCACCAAAATAAAAAAATCCTCTCTACATGATGCATGTTATCAAGTCCTTCTATACAAGGACTGAAGACAGAAGAACCTACAAGCTATACTTGATAAGTGGAAATAATTAAGTAGAATATATTGCTGCTGTCAGAATACACTTATTTAGTTAGCAAACACTCAAAAAATATCAAAAACCAACGTTGGTAAAGGAAACAGGCCACTGGCCACAATCCACATAGAGAACCTTTTCTATTTCAAGAATGGCATTCCTTGAAGAACTGTGTCCTGTCCTTGAAGAACTGAGAACCTTTACTGAAAAAGTATCATGATCTAAGCTTCTAGTGATCCTCAACCAGGGTCCCACAGGACTTGCCTGCCTTTCAGGAGTGCCATAGTGTGTCACACTATGTTAGCACTGTTAGGTGTGCAAACATGATTCACAAGATAAATCCATATATTTCAAACAGGAAATCATAGTGTTAAAAGCATTCTTAGCTGTTCTCATCTTTCTGAGTCCTTTGCAACAGAAATACATTATTTTCCTTTAGTAAAAATGGAAGGAAAACTTAGAAGAAAATGACATTTGCTGAGGGGTGCCTTGAGTCTAAAAGGATTGAGAACCACTGCTCTAGATTAAATTATTCTAAACCTCAATATAGAATTTGACCGTGTGTTCTTTGATCTGGAAGCTCAAAGAAATATCTTGCAGGTTCCACAAAATGTACAGGAGATCAAAATATAAGAGGCAGCACACCCAAACTAGA